AGCCATAGGATGGACTCTAGCAGATATACTTGGTATTTGCCCAACCGTGTGCACCCTAGAATCCTTTTAGAGGACAGGGTGAAACTGATGAAACAAAACCAAAGAAGATTCAATCCTTTGATTAAGGAGGTAGTTAAGAAGGAGATCTCAGAGCTCCTTAGTGCTGGGATTATCTATGCCATATCAGATAGAAAATGGGTTAGCCCTATTCAGGTAGTGCCCAAAAAGAGTAGGTTGATTGTAGTGAAAATTAAAAAGAATGAACTTATACCCCCTAGAGTCCAAAATGCATGGCGTGTCTGTATTGATTATAGAAAGCTTAATGATGCTCCGCGCAAAGACAACTTCCCCATCCCTTTTATTGACCAAATGTTAAAAAGATTAACAGGAAAATCCCATTATTGTTTCCTTGATGGTTTCTTTGGTTATTTTCAGGTACTAATTGCACTGAAGGACTAGGAGAAGACAACATTTACTTGTGATTTTGGGAGTTATGCTTACAGAAGAATGCCATTCAGACTCTATAACGCCCCAGGAACCTTCCAAAGATGCATGATGTCAATCTTCAATGATTTCCTAGGGGACTGCATAGAGGTATTTGTCACACCTTACTATTATATTGACTTAGGTTCCTTTCAAAACTATTTTAGACTACAGTGGATGGTCTTGGGCACACTTTTTACCACAAAAACGCTAAATTTCGGATTTTTATTGTTCATTGGGTAAAAATCCAGTTTTTCTGGCCCAACTTCAAAAATTCATAACTTATTCCACAAAAATCCAATTTGGGTGGTTCAAAATTATACTTAAAGATCTTTAAGTTCTCTTTCAAGGAAAAATAATATCATTGTCCAATTCCTTCTGAAAAAGCATCAGGTTTTTGAGAAATACAACACTGTCCATTTGCCAAAAACCTTTTTTCCAGATTCTGATCTTTAACTTTGAAAATCATTATAAATCGTATACTGGGCCATTTTTAACGTATTAGCTATCAATTTGAAGCTTAAGATGTTAAATTTCATTATACCAAATTTCATGATTTAAAACGCATGGGAGCAATATCAAAAAGTCACGTGAACCAGTCAGTGTCAATGTGCTTCCAGCACTATAATATATACATAACCAAAATGAGTTCACGAATTTTTGTGGCTAAACCCCACAAATTAGCCTTCAATCTGCTACTTTCCCTTGGAGGATTCAGGCCCTAAAACATTATGTTTCATTTGTGGAATAAGATTTCATGGAAATTCCAGTAGCAAATTAACCAACTATAGCACAAAGCAAGCATCATTATTATGCATGATCACATTAGCTACTATTGGTGACCTAACATGCTTATCATTTGGCAAACTCAAACATGCAAAGGCCAAAGCAAGATACTATAAAGAGTAGCCACATAACAATCAAGAAAGATCAACCACAATAATAGCAATTAACCATACAATAATCAATAATGCTAGTTAGTGGTAGTAGCTAGGTTTAACTTACTACCTTGCTCCAAAAGCTTTAGCTTTTCTTCCTTCTCCTCTTTTCCTTTACAAATATCAAATACTAACCATGCAATCCATCAAAAAGGGTAGCAAGAATCATTATTCAACCATGAAAAAGTAAGAACATAAATCAAAATGATTCTTGAACCATAAAGCTCCCTCCTTTGTTCACTATTTTTAAACTTGGTTCTTTTAAACCCTAAAAATCACTTCTTGACTTAATCCTACATGGCTTTTCATGTAGATTACAAATATGAGCTTAGATCTAGAGAAATAAAATTGCTTCTTCTAGCCACAACCTAACCGAACCACTAGAGGTTTTAAACTAAAAATCACAACTTTGCTTTTAAGCTTCCAACACTTGTTCCTTTTAGTTTACCCTACACCATTCCCCATTTTAAGTATCATGGAAGTCTTAAAACATTGAAAAACTCATCCTAGGGTTTAGTCCTTCACTTGGCCGAAATGAACACTTGAGGAAATAATCATGAAAAATGCTTTAAAACAACCTAAACTCACTTGCAAACACTAAGATCTAACTTGTGTTGTTGTATTTTAACAAGTATGATGAACAAAACTCCCTTTCCCTTTCAGTATTTAGTTTGTCCAGCATTATTTAGAGAGAGGAGACAGATTTTTCAACCATAAAAAGGGAAGAAAAGGAAGCAAGACACATCTAGAACCATGAACTCACCTTAGATCCTTGCTTGTATGACCAAAGGAGCTCACTTTCTCTTGCTTTTCCTTCCAAGTTCTCTCTTTTCTCTCCTCTTTCTCTCTTGGCCAAAATGCTCATATGAAAATGGGGGAGGATGAGCTTGATTAATGGTCCCAAAATATCTCAACCACCTTCTTTAATGATAGTCCAAGTGTCATTACCCTACTAAATCTTGATTTCTCTTTCATAATTAACAAAATTCCAAATGAAATTATTTACTAAAGTCAAGATCCTCTCCATTTGAGAAATGACACTTGGCAAATTCAAATCTTCTCCTTCAAGAGCTTGATACATGGCTCAATATAATCCCTTGGATTTGCAAGACACCAATCTTGCTTTATTAGTATACTTTAGGCTTTGAGTTTAACTTCTTTTTTATAATTACAGTAGCTTAGTCTCTGTAATTATTTTCTGTTAGATCCTCAATTTATTCTCCTCATTATTATCTTCCCAAATTGCCCTCTTTGTCTCAAAATTAATTTCCTAATAATTAAATAAAAAGGAAAATTAATTTCCTTCTCTTTAGGGGTTTTTCCACTTTTCATCATTCTTTGGAAAAATCTTGGATACTTGAGAGTCTTCATTTAATTCCATAATTCCTTATAATTCTTTGGGATCTCATAGGAATTTTCTTAGAATCTTTTTCCCCTTAAAAATATTTATGTGGGATTTTCCAAATAAAATCCCTTAATTAGCCTAAATCACCCTTAAATTCTCTTATAAATTATCTAAGGGTAATTTGGTCATAAAACCAACTTTATAATTTCATATAGCTCTCAAAGGATATTATCCTCATTTTTTCTTAATTTTCCAAGGCTTGGAAATATTTTTCCTTATTTAAATTTTGACCAATTTTTCCTTAATTAGTCAAATTCCTACTTTTGGCTTGGAAAATTACTAGAATTATTTTCCATTAAAATTCTCCTTATTATTTTTAATCCTCAATAATTTGGGAATATTTCTTATTTCTAGTTATCATAATGCTAGATGTGACAGTATTCATGGATGACTTCAATGTATATGGTAACTCTTTTGCTGCTTGCTTGACTAGCTTAGAAAAAGTTTTACAAAGATATATTTAAAAGAAGCTAGTCCTGAATTTTGAGAAATGCCACTTTATGGTCAATGAAGGCATAGTTTTGGGTCACTTGATTTCTTGCAAGGGTGTAGAAGTGGATAAGGCCAAAATTGAAATTATCTCCTCTCTCTTATATCCCACTAAACTTAAAGAAATTTTGATCTTTCTTGGGGCATGCTGGGTTCTATAGAAGATTTATAAAAGACTTTAGCAAAATCGCCTTACCACTTTCTAATCTTTTGAAAAAGGATGTGGAGTTTGAATTTAATGAAACCTGTAAAATTGCCTTTGATACTTTGAAAGTTAAATTGATCTCTCCACCCATCTTGGTTGCCCTAAATTGGGATTTACATTTTGAGATTTCTTGTGATGCATTTAACTTTGCTATTGAAGCCATGCTAGGGGAAAAAGAGGATAAACTTTCAAGAGTGATCGCTTATGCTTTAAAGACCTTGGATGCTTTGCAAGTGAATTACACAACCATTGAGAAGGAGCTTTTTGCTATAATTTTTGCTCTAGATAAGTTTAGACCTTATTTGATTAATTCCAAGGTTGTTTGTATTCACTAACCATACAGCAGTGTGGTATCTTTTTAAGAAACCGCATTTAAAACCTCAATTGTTTTGTTGGGCTCTCCTCTTGCAAGAGTTTGATATTGAGATAAAGGATCGAGCCAGAGCTGAAAATCATATGGCAAATCACTTAAGCCAGTTGCCCTTAGACACAAGAGGAGTTGATAATTCTAACCTTGTCTTTGATTCTTTTCCTGATGAGATATTATGTTTCATAACTCTTAGGGAGCCTTGGTATGCTCATATTGTGAATTATCTCATAACCAAACTGACCCCACCGTCTATGTCCACTTATTAGGTGCAGAAGCTCCAAGCTGAGTCCAAGTATTTTGTATGGGATGAGCCATTCCTATGGAGGCTGCACGGGGACTAAATCATTAGACGGTGTGTGCCTCAAGAAGAGCAACAACGAATTATCATTGCTTGCCATACGCTGTCTTGTGGGGGGTATTTTAGCTCGAAGAGGACAGTGAGGAAAATTTGAGAGTGGGTTTTACTGGCCTTACCTATTCAAAGACTGCTATGACTTCTATAAATCTTGTGAGATGTGCTAAAATTTTGGAAGGTGGAGTTGGAGGCATGAGATGCCTCAAAAGCCCATGTTGTTCTGTGAAATGTTTGATGTTTGGGGTATTAATTTTATGGACCCTTTTCCTCCCTCTAATGGCTTCAATTATATCCTTCTAGCAGTTGATTACCTTTCTAAATGGATAAAGGCCATCCCCACCCAGAAAGATGATGCCAAAACTGTAGTTGAGTTTGTTAAGTCTAACATTTTTAGTCGGTTTGGGATTCCTAGGGCCTTAGTGAGTGATCAAGAAACCCATTTCTGCAATAGGCTTCTTAGTAGCCTACTTGTTAAATATGGGGTCACACACAAAACATCTATCGCCTATGACCCTTAGATAAATGGCCAAACAAAGGTATCCAACCGAGAAATAAAGCAGATTTTGGAGAAAATGGTAAAGCCTTTAAGAAAAGATTGAAGTTTGAAGCTCGATGATGTACTGTGGGCATATCAAACAGCATTCAAGAATCTTATAGGGATGTCTCCACTCCACTTCGTCTATGAAAAATCATGCCACTTGCTAGTAGAATTGGAGCACAAGGCTTATTGAGCTGTTTTGACTTATAACAAAGAGATGGACAAAGCTGGTGAAGAAAGGTTATTTCAGCTTCAAGAGATAGAAGAAATGAGATGTGAGGCCTACAGCAACTCCCGGATATATAAGGAAAAGTGCAAGGCTATTCACGACAGTGGTATCTTGAGAAAGAATTTTAAGCTTGGTAACAAGGTCCTTAAATTCAAGGCCCGATTCAAATTTAGAGACAGGAAGCTCAAAGAAAGATGGGATGGACCTTACATCATCACCAAGGTCCTTGGCTATGGAGCATTTGAGCTCAAGGATAAAAAGCATGGCACTAAACATCTAGCTAATGGACATCTCCTTAAGCTTTTCTATGACAAGCCTGCAGAACCGTAGCCTAGGTTGTTTCTTTCCTCTCCTTATCCCTTATCATTTTGAGATTGCTCATGAAATCAATTATTGCTTAAATTGTTGCAGAGCCATAGCACTAAATTGTTGGATTTGTGTGAGGGAGGAAACTCTCTAGTAGAGTAGATGTTGTTTGATTTTATTGGTTGTTTTGTTTGTCTTTGTTGTTCTTTGTTAGTGTGTTTCCTTGTTTTGTTTTGTTCCTCCCAAGTTTTGCTACAAGCTCTAGCCTGTGTTACGCTTTGGGTGGTTTTTCTGATTGAGGATTGCTTCGCTATGCTGTTGGGGATATTTCTAGGTTTAATCTTGAGGTTTTTGCTGCTAGAGCATGTTTTGCTAAGAGTGTTGGGTAGCTAGGTTGGTTTAAGGGCTTAGGATTCAGTGTTTGTTGGCTAGAAGGGTAGTTAGTGGTTCTAGTGAGGGTTGTTAGTGGTTCTAGCGAGGGTTGTTCTTGGCCTAAACTTTAGTCACGATGAACTCTGCATTGCCTGAAGTCTCGAATGCCTCTGGAAGAATTTTAGTTGTGGTTAAATTTTGTTAGTTGTGACGAAAACGCCTTATTTCCAGTAACCTCATATTCGTGTTTTCTCTATTTTGCTCTTATTTACTTAATGGATTTCCTCCTTTGCCCTTCAAATATTGCCCCAAAACCATCCAAATTCATTTTGGCTCTTAAAATCCCTAAACCCTTTGGTCTTTTCACTTTTGAAGGACCCCTTTTGTATAGTTTTCCTCCCTTTCAATTTCAATTTTAGTTTACGTTTTAGTTTCTCTCCTTTACAACCTCTGGCTTTTCTCCCACACCTCCAGTTATCTACTAAACCAAGGGCTAGCTCCACTGATTTGACCTTCCTACTTGACTCCTCTCCTGATCCATTGAAAATATTTCAATTCCTCTCGTTGTTTCTTCTGATGCCCAGTTTTTCCTAAGTTAGAGGGCTAGTAACCGAATTTTTGCATGCTTTAAGTGGGGTAGTGATTGTAGAATGGTGTTTCTAAGTTTATAGACTGTTTCTGGGTTGTTGTTGACTTATAAGATGAACTGGTTTGTGAATTTTGTGCTTAGCATTATTGGACTTTTTGTTACTCTGTTTCAACCCTGGTTTTTTGAAAATTTATCATGTTTCATCGTGGCAAGAGCTTATATTTTGTCGCTACCAAATACCATTACAGAAGCTAAGAAAGGGACCATGTTGCATCTTCGTCGCAGCCAAAGTGTCTACTTCGTCGTGACAAATTGGTTGCTTGTTCTCTGTTTTAGAATTCTCTACTGTGTTTGAAGCTTGTTTTAAAAACCTCTCTTATGAACTATTTCCCATCTATCTTTTAAATTTCTTTTAAAACCAATTTAGCTTACTAAGTTTTAGCTTGGGTAGCATTTAGAGGGGTGTAGTGTCTTAGGATTTGTCTAACTTAGTTCTTTTTTTTCCCCTTCAGGAGTTTAAGAAGTTTGGTTTTATGTGTTTTTGTTCATGTGTGTTTGTGTTCTGTGTGTGTTGTATTTGCCCTTACAAATGCCTCCTCATACTGCCCAAATTGAAACAAAAGAGCAAGCTCGAGACATCATTTATTCCAAAAACTTGCTTCTAGAAAGAGAATTCCCAAAAACTATTGAATGTGAATTTTACCAGCTAGCTATCCAAAGAGGTTTTGGGGACATGATGAAGAAAAGGGAGCAAGGTAACACACATCTAGTAAGGGAATTGTACACCACCACAAGTTTTGAGGATACCCCAACGATAAAGCTACGCAGAATAGGGGTGAAGTTCACAAAGGACAATATTCGATAGCATTATAATTTGCTGTTTGTGAAGAAGGGCAAGTTCCAGCATTACAGAAAGAATCTAAAAGATGTTAACTAGGACGATGTAACATCTCCTTTATTACCATATTATGCATCAATTGGAGCCATTATAACACATTTTCCAACATTTCCGAGTGAAAAATTTCAATTTCAACACTTTCCCCTTTAATCTGTCTGTACACTATTCATATAAATTTAGGTCAACTTTGAAAATTCATAACTAATTCTAGAGAAATCAAAATGAGGTGGTTCTAATATTCACTCAAAGCTTGCTAAGTGTTTGGTAAAGAAAAAATATTTATTGGACTCAATTCCATCTAGAAAAACACTAGAAAATTTGACAATTTTTCATATGGTCAGTTTTTGAATTTTCAGCATTTTAGCCCAACTTTGGAAGGGTATAACTCTTAGCACATAACTCCAAATTTGATGGTTTACCACTCGATTTAAAGCTAAAAATGAGATCTAAATGTTTGCAAAATCTCGATTCCAGATTCTATTGTTTTCTTGTTAATTTATGTGCCACAAGATTAGCCTCATTTAGGGTATTTTTATCCCTTAATCACATTTTTCTTGAAATTATTTCCCTTTTTCCTGTTTCATTATCCCTTTCACATTGCACCATTCAATATTCCAACATTGGGACATGTCATAACAATACAAGTTACATTCTATCATCATCCATACTTCATTACAACTTAACGTAAAGTTTATTAAAACATTACATAACATAACATAGTGATATAATTTCCATAATACTCCTTCATCCCAATACCATTTCCTTGCCCTTGCCATTGGATGAACCATCCCCTATTTAGTACATAAATTAACATAGGAAGAATGAGATTTCAAAAAAATCTCAGTAGCAATTGAACTATAATTATTATATAAATCAAGCAAGTTACAATGTGACATGTTATAAACTTCAAGACATCCTCAAGCCACATGCAATCATGCTCAACATTAAGCTAGGAGAGGAGCACCAACCCTTTCACCATAACATAATTCAATGAATTTGGCCAAAGCATAACCCAAAATCATCCAATCAATCAAGATCACAATACAAGTTCCTCAATCTAAGCAAGCAACAAATCACACTAAGCAAGCAAGATAAACAATCAAATTATAATTCAATGCTACCTTTTATCACTTGGTAATTTTAGCCTCCTCAAGGGGTTGTGTTTCTCCTTGATTCCTCCTCACCAAAACTATTGAATCAAGTATAAATACAAGCTATATCAATAGCTAAACAACTTAAACACAACACTTTAATTTCACTTAACAATTTTCCCCCTTTTTCTTTGATTTTTAAAAAAATAGTTCCTCCTTTCGAATCAATGATCTCTTGGCTCAATCCTATACAATTTTTCATGAGAAATCCAAATATCCAATCATATTTTTAAAAATCAAACTCCTTCCTTCTCAAATCATAGTGGCCGAATAGGGGTATATGACTTCTAAAAATTTTATTTTTGATTCCAATAATTTTACACACTTTTCTTTTGTATATCACTACACAAAGACACATTTTAAACTCATTGGAATAATCAAATTAATGCAAAACAAATTGCTGCCCTATGTACTGTTCTTGGCTGAAATGAAAAGCATGGATCTTAGGTGGATCTTCTTTCAAAAACTACTCCATACACCACTTACACATGCTTATTCCACTTGATATTTAAGGTTTCTATCCTTCCCTAATAGCCAAGCATGTTAACCGAATTTGTGCAGCATTTTTCCTTAATTTTTCAAGCCAAAAACCCCAACTAATTAGCTTGAAACTTAGGGATAAGAAGGCTTAAGCATACCTTGATGCTTCCTTGGTAAAAACTGAATGATTCCTTGCCTAAATACCCCTAAATTTTTAGTCTCCTTGGTCTGGACACAAAGTGGCAGCACCTCCCTTTATTTTTCCAATTTTTTCAACATTTTTTTTGTATTTTAGGGAGGAGTATTTATGGACAAATGGACCTGCCATTTTCTCCTGATTTAGGATGCCCAAAATGCTAGAAAATAAGGTGAGTTGGTAGCCATTAAGTGCATCATAACTTCATGATTAACTAAGTGTCCAAACTCTAGATTTTTCCAAGCTTTATCCCTTAATTTTGCGTTTTATTTAATTAAAAATAGTGCTGTCCAGAAGCTGCACAAAATCGGGCTTGAATTGGGCCTAATGTGGGCCCCACAAATGGTCTAGGCTGGCCTAAAAAGATGGCCCACAACCCAAATCAAAATCCCAAACCATTCTGACACTTTATCGATTAGTTTTCACTAGTAACAATACAAAATTTTTTCAGACCTCCAAAACTTCATTTCTCTCCATGATAATTCACATTTTAATATAAGAACATGATCTGAAAAGTTTTAGAATTTTTTGCCACCTCTAGGTGTTTATTTTGAATTTTCTCCGATTAGGCCTCTATCGGTGTCACTGCAGGAAAATAAATTCCCTGAAATTAATTCCTGAGCTTCCAAGGCCTAAAACTAATTTTATAAATTCAAAAAAATATTTAGATGATTTTTTCATATTTTTTCCAAAATTATTGAGGCCTCTAAATAATTAAAATAGTTATTTTCCTCCGATTTCCCAATATTTTCCCGAAAAACCTCTGTTTACGGGAAATTTTATAATAATATATTTTCATAATAATTTCACCTTTTGGGTCACAAACAAGTTTCCAAAACCTTTAACTTATACTTTTACCATTTTTTAGAATTTTTTTAGAATTTTTCTCAAAATTTCCCGTTTTGCCCTTTTTAGATCGATGATTACAAAAATGCCAGCCTGAACCTTATCGGAGTTTCACATCAAAAGTTGTTTCGTCTCCCCATCTAATTTCTACATTGGCCCTCATTCTAATTTTTAATTTCCTATGTCCGGATGAAATTTCTCAGGATGTGACAAACGATGTCATCAGTACTCTATGTGTAAAGGGTGGAAATTGGGCAGAAAGGGGCAAAGATTAGCTCTATATAAGAAAGGAAGGTTATGAATGATGAAGCCCACATCTGGCTAAACTTTATGTGCTATAATGTTATGCCCAGCACCCACATCTTTGACACCATCAAGGAAGGTGCCCTGCTACTATACTTGTTGATGAAAGGGGGAAAAATTGACATCTCTCAAATTATTCTCCCACTTGATTTCTGAGCTTTGCATTGAAGCGGGAATACTGATAGAGGA